CTGAAGTTGCTCAATGTGAAGTTCAAGTACTCAATCACCAGAAAGAGTTACCTGAAAGTTGTGTGATTTCAAAAATTAATCGGGAACAAATATAAATTCCTATGAAAACCACCAATAACTGGACTTACGTTTTGGATAAAAGAAGAACGTTCAAATTAATTTGTAATAACAATACAATCAGTTTAACGTTAGAGCAAGCAGGAATCTTACAACTTCACAACTGCCAATTGAAACAACCAACAAAGACAATTTCTTCGCACGATGCGATTGTCATATCTTCCTGCTTTGAATATCACCAAGTTCGTAAGTTCTACGAACTTACATTAATTAGACAAAATAAATACTAGGTATTCAGCAAATGTCAGTAAGTTTGAAGAACAACTACATCATTTAAACACAAACGAACAACTAGTTGATGCTCACAATGTGGTGCACTATATAAAAGCTCCATCATCTATATAATCATAGTAGCACTTGTATTATTGTTCATTATCACAAAATAGAGAGCTCGACAACAAATTCTGTAACCTCAACCTCGAGCTCGTAATCGTTCATCTATGACGGCTCAAGACTTCTCGCTTACCTTTGAAAGGAAGAATGTTTTGTAACAACAATTATTCTGAATTCTAAATTTCCTTGTAATATTTGCAAACATTATAGTTAGTTAATGTAAATATTTTCCCGTACATAATTTTCTCAAAATATTTTAGTAGGAGTGAAATTACATATGTATGTTTTGTTTATTAATTTTACTTTAATTAAGTTTGAAACCTATATGACACGTAAGTTAACATGGGAAAATTATGAATTTTATAAATGCATAAGATTCCCTATTTCTATGGGAAATAATTAATTTTAAGTATGATTTTTATATAAATAGGTCAGATTTTTAATGTTAATCAGCGAGATGAGTTCTTAGTAGATTTTCTTAGTGGTACTAACCTTTGTGTATGTAATGGGGGCTGTGACCCTACTTTCGTCATTAAGAACGGGAGCGAGCTGCTAGACTTTACTTTGGCTCCTAATTTTAGGACCTTAATGGTCAGTAACTGGATGGTATCGGAGGAGTCTTCTCTCTCGGACCATTGCTGGATTCGTTTTAGGATAGATTTGTGGAGGTGAGGGCACCATTTGAGAGCACCAATTGGGATGCCAATTTGTCTTTCGGGATTGGGATGAAAGACAAATCGGTTACCCTGGAATCTGCCATGGCCGGGCCGGTAGAAGAACTGATAAGAAGGGGTAAGTCGATTGACAGAATGTCTGAGTGCGTCTACCACCATGGTGGTGTAGCGAGATTGGTAAATCCAGGAGGAAGGTAAGCAGACTACATAATTTAAGTACACAATAAAGAAGGCCAAACGAAGGTTTTGGAGGAACTATTGCGTGTCATTGGAAAATACCAAAGAGGTTGTAAGATTGAGGAAGCTACTACCGGGGTAGCCCTTGGTACCTGATTTTGTTAAAAGGATGGTTCATGGGCTGGCTCTAGTATAGAAATGCTTTAGGAGTTGAACTAGAAGCTAATGGAGATTCAATTTCCGGGATCAATATCCGAGCAATCTGGAAGAGTTAGAGCCAAAGACCCTACAAGTCTCCGGGAACGGATGGGGTACAGCCTATTATGCTGCGGAGGGCATATGGAGCTATCATCGATTGGTGATCTATAGAGACGGCGCTACACGCGGTGGTCTCACTGGTGGAAGTGTCTCTGCAGTGCAAGGAGTATACTTTGGCTGCTTTCTTGGATGTTGAGGGTGCTTTCAATAATGTGAAGGTTGAGGCTATCGTAAGGGCTCTTGAGGATATGGGGGTAGAGGAAGGTATAATCAGGTGGATAGGGCAAATGCTTATTACGAGGGTGGTAGTGGCTGAGTGGGGCTCAAATAAAGTTAGGATTTTATCGGTGAGACACACCCCCAGGGAGGTCCTGTCGCCACATCTATGGGTCCTGGTTATGGAAGGTTATTTTAGGCTAATGGGGGATAGTGGTTGCAGAGTTACTGCCTATGCGGATGATGTGGCAATCGTGGTCTCGGGTAAGTATCCGGAAGTACTGAGTGCGATAATGGCGGGGGGTCTTGATATAAAGTTGGGTCAAACCAATGGTTTGTATTGTAGCACTTTTCCCTTCAACAAGTGAAAATTCTGCTTTTAAAAACAGGCTATGTATACCTATCGCACTATTAAAATTATTTTCATTCATATACAAAACTATTTCTAGGATTGTATATATTTAGGATGAACGATTTATGCAATCTTTGAAATAATGCAAAAATTAATATAAAGTGGGGTTGACATAATGCTCGATTTTAATTGTATGAGTTAAGAAAAATAATTATATTTTTTAATGTCATGGTATTTACCGTTAGCTTTTGTGTTTATAGAAATTTGAAAAAGCTTGCGGTTTCGGAAATATGAGGTGTCAAAAATTCAAATTTTACAAATTTCAAGAGGCGATAATTTGAGAGGGGGTGAAGATGGAAAAAAATTTTCCTCTAACGAAATGAACTATTGGTTAATGTCTAAAAGTTTCTAAAATTTCAAGCTTCTACAGGCTGGGGTCTAGAAGAAAAACGACATCAAAAATTTGGAAAAAAAGGACTTTAGATAACGGTAAATTTCAACGGTCATTTTGTTTTTCTAAAGTTTAACTATAGTATGCCGCGCTAGGGGAAGCAAGCCGCTGCCTTTCTGCGTTTGCAAAATTTCAAAAATGCTTATGTTTTCATTGCAACAAATAGTTAAAAAGCCCATTTTTTGGGTTTTGGGGGGGTATAACTTCTAAAGGGGGGAAGATAGGTAAAAATTTTGTTCTACGGAAATAAGTTTCTAGTACAGATCTATGTACGTATTAAATTTCAGCGTTCTATCTTCAAGGGTGTAGAAGTTCTGTAAACAAAAAAAGTGTCCACGGACGGACGAAAAAAATTTTGGAAAAGTGCTAAAAAAGGAATGTGCCCGGGTTTGTCCTGCCCAGGATGGCGGGGGTCAAACTGGGCTTAGCAGGCTGCGCGTTATACCTTTGCGTGATTATAGATAGTAAGCGGCTGTAGACGGAAAACATAGAGGATAGGGTAAGAAGGGCCACGAATGCGTTGTTTGCCTGCAAGGGAGCGGCTGGTAGTCCTTGGGGAGTGAGCCCTCGACTGGTCTGCTGGTTGCATGAGTGTGTGATCAGGTCTATTCTGACGTATGGGACATTGGTGTGGTGTCTAGCGGTGCTTCGGAATAGGCAGAGGAGGAAGTTGGACAGGGTGCAACGTATGGCGTACTTTGGGTTTCGGAGGTTATTCTCGACTTGGATCCGGTGAGTGAGCTGGTGAAAACGGTGGCTGTGAGGAGCACCTTGAGGCTACAAACAATAGGTATACTGATAAACAGGGAATACACACGCAGTAAGATTCTGGGACAATATGGAATGCCGCCTATGGACAATAGGTCTGACTTTGTGATGCCATATAGCGACTGGGGGGTTGATAGGACGTGGGTCTTGGTTTTGAGGGTTGCCGATGGGCCTTTTCTGTTGGCCTAGTGCATGGGCTTCGCGCGGGTGTACGGGTGGTACTACTACTACTATAAATCTCTGCTTATCGACAGATTGTTTAAATCAAAACTGACCTACAGGACTGTGTCAATGAAGCATACCACATGATATTCTCCGAAATACTAACTTTTGCAAATGTAAGCGAAACTGGTTTACTAACATAAAGCTTTGCATAACAGATAAAGGACACCATTTTAAGTGGTTGTTATTCACTTTTTTAACCATTGAAGGAAAACATTTGGTATAACATTTACACTACTTTATTTTTCTCAATAACTCCTAAATCAGAACATATAGAAAGATGGCTCATATACCAGATTAAGGCTCTGTTAACAAGACTGCCAGCTGTGATAAAGCTACAGGAAATTGCAACGTGATGTCATCTTAAAAATTAACGTTTTTTAAAACCAAAAAGTAAAAATTTCGAGTTTTTCGAATTTAAAAGTCATGTCATTCCGAAATTTGAAATGATTGTAACAAATGTATAATGAGAAAATTCTTGGTCTGGAGTTTTGAAATCATATTTAATGCGCATTTCAGACAAAGGCATTATCTGGAATTTTACTTAAAATTTCCAAAAGTAAAAAATCTGAAAATACGAAAATATTTTTAGAAAATTTTCTTCTAGCGAAATGTCGCACAACCTGTTGTCTAGAAGAAAGGCGACATCAAAAATTTGGAAAAAACGGATTTTGGATAACTCTAAATTTTAACTGCCAATAGGAGAAGCAAGCCAATGCTTTTCTGCGTTTGCAAAATTTGAAAAATACTTATGGCATTAAATGGTTAAAAAATGGCATTTTTAGGGTTAAAGATAACTTGAAGAGAGAGGAAGATGGGTAAATTTTTTTTTTTACGGAAATAAGTTTCTAGTAAATATAAAATTTCAGCTTTTTATCGTAAAGAGGGTAGAAATTTTGTAAACATGTTCAAGGACGGATGGACGAACAGAGTGAAACTAATAAGCACTTTTTATCAACAATTTTTTGGAAAATTGCTAAAAACATTCTTGATCAATAACTTTTTATCGTGTATCTTATAGAGTTATTAAATTCATTATAAATTCATTAATTATTATTGTATTATCGCATGAAATTTCTCTTGAACTACAAGCTGGACTAAATTTTTACATATACATTAAATTTTTTGCATACTGAATTAAATTTTTTTGTAAATTCGTATGTGGAATATACCATAAGGTTTCCCTCGTTAGGTTCACCATAAGGTGCCAAAAATTTGGGTTAATAGGTAGATGTGCTGTCAAAATTTTATTAAAGATACTAAATAAATTTCTCTCCAGTTTGAATAAAGTAAACAAAACTGAATGTTTTAAATCGCAAGCATACAAAGTGACATCAACAAGAATGAAAAAGTGAGTTAAGTATAAATAAACAGAAATGCTATACATATAAATATGTAATAGCAAAATTTATTTTTGAAACTTGCTTCTTACCTGAATATTTTGATAATGTCTCTTTAAGCGTTGCATCTTCCTCATAGTCTGAAGTAACGTTAATTGGATCGACTTGCACTTTTACTTTACCATTTTCATCACGAAATTTATTAACTGTTATTTTAGAGAATTGTCTGAAATCGGTTCCAGATTTGATTATCTTAGTGCCATTAATGTCGTGACACTCAAAAATGTGATCATGACCGCCAAGTATAATATCAATATTTGGACAATTTTTAGCTAAATTAATATCATTTTGCGTTCTCATATGTGTAAGGGCGATAACAATTTCACATCCTTCATTCCTCAGTTCTTCAGCTAATTTATTACCAGCTTCAACATAGTCAATAAATGTTACTTCAGCTGGGTCAATTGTTGGCAATGTTTCTAGCCACTCTTGTTCGACAAGACCCATCAAGCCGATTGTTGTTTGACTATGATATAAAAAATGAGTTATCTTTCCGCCACCAAGGGGTCTTCCAGTTTCTAAATCTACAACATTTGACATTAGCCAAGGAAAGTTAGTTTTTTTTACTAGTCCATCAAGCACTTCTAAACCATGATCTGTAAAAAAACATAAGCCAGAAAATTATTGAATAACAATGCTGTACAGAAAAATAAAGAGCGTTTTAAATATACGGTTTTTCACGCCTAAATGTCGTTTTAAAACAACACATGCAATAATTTAGATTTTTTAATTTTTCTCTATTTTTATTAAAAATATAGCTCACAACAACATCTACACGCGACTTTTGAAAGACTATACAAAAGAAATTAGTTATCTACAAACCAAAATCATGATTTCCAAAAACAGCACAACTTGTTCCGACACCATTCAACACAGGAACCATTTGCTCACCATATGTAAAAGTACTTAACATACTTGGAAAGAATGCATCTCCGCTGAACAAAACTATGGGATCCAAATCTTCGAACGACTTGATAGCAGTACAAAATCTTGCTGCGCCTCCAACTAAAGCAATTAAACATTTTTTTTTTTTAATTCCTTTAAATACACTCAATATTTAAATTTTTAAAATTTGTTAACAATAACAATGAAAAGTTAATAATGAAAAGTTTTCATTTGAATATCATAATTATTTTTTTGCGTTTCGATTAATTTTATAGATAATTTCTACAGCATATTTTTATACGAAGCATAATTATCAAAGCGTCACTTTTTTAAAATTTTTTTCTTCTCTTTGTACATTTTTATTCATTTTTCGATTGTGGTTTACGTTACACATAATATAGATGTTAAAGGCTTAAATCATTTAATTATAAGTTAGGCTAAATATATACACACATGTGTGGATACATATATATGTATATATATATATGGATACATATATATATATATACATATTCCACACAAATAATACTTTAGCAAAATTTTTACATATGTATATCCCCATGAAAAGTTATTGCTCCTAAAGCGATTTTTTGACAATTTATTGTAACGAAGTCACAAACGAACGCCGAGCGGTGGTGGCTAGTTTCTTCTTCTTGGAATAGCATAGTTCAATTTTAAAAACACGAAATGGCCGTCAAAAGTAACCGTTATCTGAAATCAGTTTCATGTTGAAGTCTGAATTTTTAGCAGCATTTAGATATTAATAAATAGTTTATTTCGTTAGTGCCCATAGTCATAAATAAAACGTGCCTGTTTTGTTTTTATGTAGTTTTTTCACCCTACACACGCACGTAATTTTTTGTAAAAAACAATACTTATAATAGGAATAAAAGTGAAAGATATTTTTTACAAAAATTTAAATTCTTTTTTTTTTGAAAATTACTCTTTTCGCTTGTGATGTAACCTATAATTAAAAATATAAAATGTCAAAAAAATTATGCCTACCTAATGTTATACTTTTTAAAATAAATATTATAGATTTTTAGAAATTAATTTCGCTCTCGAATATTTCTTAATTTTTTTTATACTGCAATATAAATAATAACAAGAACAATAATATTGACATTGGAAACAAATACTCAAATTTTGTTCAGGGTAAAACATTAACAGCTAACACCCAATTTTCTATATCTATACCCAACCCTCACAACCTACCCAACGCTCGCTTATTGCAAACACATCCGCCTGCTAACTTTGTAGATCCGCTGACTCCTCCGATCGTTCGTATGACCAAAAGGTCTGTTGAAGATGGCCACAGTACTTATGTACTATCTCGCTTCAGAGATCGGGCTGTATATGAGAATGTTAAATTGTACTTGGCACATCTTCACGATGCGGCGGAGAATGTCCACCACGATGGTAAAACTAGATTAGGTGTTAAAGTTTTTATTGAAAGTGAGGGCCTTCCCTCTGGCTATGCTATTTTATATAGCTTATTTAAAAAATTTCATATCTGCCGCCAGTGTCGATAAAGTTTTACAAACATTTAGGAGCCATATGAAAAGTAAATGAATTGATTATTTGCAGAGGATGAGGGAAGCAAACAACAAGTTTGTTCTTCCGATGACCTCAGCCCAATCGTCTAGATGCTTCAAGTAGCTTTCGTAACAACAATAACTTGGTCCAATTAACTGCCTTGGAAATAGTATGACAAGGACTGTGAAACAACTTTCTATGTACTATCAAAATGTCCGTGGACTAAGGACTAAAACTAACACCGTTCTGTTTAACTCTTCTCTTCTTGACTGTGATATTTATGTTCTAAAAGAAACTTGGTTGCCCCCCATTATCAATAATCTTGAATTATTCGACTCTTCTTTTTCTGTTTTTAGAAAGGACCGACATGCACTTCTCTTGCAAGTACACACACCAAAGGGAGTTGGGGTATTAATTACCGTTAAAAACTCGTTATCAGCTAGTACTATTGACATTCAAGACTCCGATGATTAAAATTGAGCTGAAATCCAAAATGCTTTCCGTTGTCAATTGCTATATACCGCCTTACTCAAGTAATGAGTTATATGCGAAATTTTCTTTGGCAATTGATTATTTATGCAACTATTTTAACCCTACGGATGAGGTTTTTGTTTTCGGAGATTTTAATCTCCCCAAAATTAGGTGGATGACTCATGATGAGGAACCATTTTTGATATCAATTGACCGTTCTAGTGAGTTGGAGTTGTCCTTTATAGATACCTTTCATCTAAATAATTTGCAACAAATATCGTCAATAACAAACCATCAATCGAGGCAACTGGATCTAGTCTTTACTTCCAATTGGTACAACTGTTTACCTATAACTGTCCCGGATCCGTTGGTTAACGACTTCTCTTCAGTATTAAACTTTACGATTTCTCTTCAGTATAGAACTTTACTGATATTGAGTCTATGACGAGTAAGTTTTACGAAATCATTTTTGCTGCATTTGATTTATTTATTCTAGTGTTGAAAACTAAAGATACTTGCTCTGGCCCTTCATGGTTTTCACAAGAGCTGAGTGTACTTCGCAACAGAAAGAATGACAAAATAAAGGCGACAGGGACTATGATAATTTCCGATTGTCGTATGATCAATTTAAATTAGCAGCAAAAGAACGTTACGACTACTATAACTATAAAACTTCAGATAACTTAATACGTAATCCCAAAGTCTTTTGGAAGTTCATAAACCATAAGAGGAAAAGTGATACTTATCCAACCTTTCGGCACATTAATAACTATCCTAAAACTACCTTTACAAATTTTATGACGAACTCTTCTGCGGTTGAAAAATATCTTTCTAATTTGGGTTCTAGTCCTTTTCCTGGACCAGATGGAGTTCCTGAGATTATTTTAAGCAGGTGCTGCTCTTCTCTGGCGCCCATCTTAACCGTAATCTTTAATAAGTCTTATTCTTCGGGTATTTTCCCTTCCGTGTGAAAGGAAGCTTTCATTAAGCCAATCCATAAGAAAAACAATAAAAATGACGTGTCAAACTATCGTCCTATAGTTAAACTGTCGGCAATTCCTAAGGTTTTTGAGTTGATGGTATATGACAATATTTATTTCCATTGTATGCCATTCATTAGTGCGCGTCAGCATGGCTTCTTGAAAAAGAAATCCACGGTGACTAATCTAGTGAAAGCCACGACAGTTTTCTCAAATAATATGGAAAATGGGTATCAGACGGACCTAATTTACACAGATTTTAGCAAAGCCTTTGACATACTACGACATGAAATTATTATTTTAAAATTGAAACTCTTAGGATTCCCTGACAACTCCTTAGCATGGATAAAGTCATATCTCTCTGGCAGGACTTACAGAGTCCTCTTTCGTTCAGCAATATCCTCGGCTCTTTCGTCTAATTCTGGTGTACCACAAGGTAGTCACTTAGGTCCATTGCTGTTCATTATTTCAATTAATGATGTTGTTTCCATGCTAACGCACAGTGAGGTATTAATATATGCTGATGACATGAAAATTTAAAAAAAAATAAACTCTACAAATGATGCGTTATGCCTTCAGAATGATCTTAACCGCTTCTACGTCTGGTGTTCAAGTAACAACCTAAAAATCAATGTAAGTAAATGTGCACAAATGTGCTACTCTAGGCAAAAACGGCCATTTTTTACAAACTATACTTTGAATGGCCAAGCTCTTAGTCGAGATGATTCAGTAATGGATCTGGGTGTTTGTTGCGATAGCAAGTTATCATTTATAAACCACTATAGTCATATCATATGCAGATCAAGCTCGATGTTAGGTTTTATTAAACGCTTGGCAAAGAAGTTTAATATCCTTATGTCTTAAAATCACTCTACACATGCCTGGTCCATCCTCATTCTTAATATGCTTCACAAGTATGGTCACCCTATTACAATATACATATTAATAGGATTGAGTCTATTCAAAAAAATTTTTTGAGGTTCGCACTGCACCTTCTTTCTTGGGAAGACCCCATCACTCTTCCACCTTAAGAGCACAGACTCAAATTAATTGACCAACCCACACTGGGTAAAAGACATGAAGTCGCGGATTTGTTATTCATTTTTCAGCTTATGAAAACTGATGTAATCGCCCCCGACATTTTTAATAAAATTGTGATTAATTCCAACCTTAGGTCTCGTTCCCCGGATCTTTTCATGGTTCCTTTTCATAGGACCAATTATGGGCAGCTTGAACCTGTCAGCAGAATGCTGCGTTTATGCTACAAACGCAAACACAGACTTGACTTTTCACTGAAGAAAGACACGATGAAAAAGCTTCTATTTACTTATAGTTAATTATTTACTTATAGTATAACCCTTTGCTTTATTTTAACAAATTCTTGTTTTACCTTCTCATTGTCTATATTCATATTTAATGGAATATTATTACTAATAAGTTTTATTTTGTATAATTTCTAAATTTAATTTTTAAGTCAAAAATTTGTTCTGTCTAAAAAAATATGTATCTGTATATTCATTCTTTAATTTTAAGTTATGTAAAATTTTTGAGCTAAACATAAATAAATAAATAAATAAATAAATATTTTACTGATAAATATGACCATAAAATTTCCAAAAAACCAGCGCAATCTAGAAATAAATATTTTTAACAAAAAAATCCCAAATAAATTTTTTTTGGGTAAAAGGTTGTCGTTCGCTCAGTATAAAAAAATCTTTTAATCGGTAGTATCAAAGTTTTGTACAAAATAGAACTTTTTAATAGTTTAGATACAAAATATAATTCGGTAAATAAATAACAGAATATATTTTGTGTACATCAACCTGAAAAATTTAAATTGTTCAAAAAAATTGTACATTATTTAAGTAAATTTCCAATTATGTTTGTTTTTATTTAAAATTCAATAGAAAATACACTTACATATGTTGAAATTGTTACAATGGCATTACATTTTAATTAAGAATTGAATGTACAATTAAAATCCCAAAAAATTGTTTAAATAAGTTTATAAAATGAAAAGAATCACTTTCATTCATAAAATATATGTATATTGAAAATTTTAAATTATTTTTTTAAATTTTCAATAAAACATAAATTTAATCTAAATTTCTTCGACCACTAATTGCATGCAGT